GCATTTCTACTTAGATATGCATATTTCACGTAATCCACATAATAAACATGTATAAATTACCTCAACCTTGGTTGTCTCAAACCTGATTATAACAATGTGGGATTATTGAAGCGTACTATGTACCCTCCACCAAGGAGTACGTTTCTGTTAGAACCTCAAGGTCGCTATTTTCGCGCGTCCTTCAAATACCTACCAAGACTGATCTTGGTTTGAGCGAGCACGCCCCTCTCCCATCTGGGGATGAACTGGTGGCGTTCTTGACACTGTTGGGGTACAACCAAGCCATTCAGTACCCGTCAGAATATCGAAGACAATTCCTGCCACAAATGTGGAACACTATGTTCACATTGGTCAACCGTTCGTTGACAGGAAAAAATCGGCAGTCTCGATATGTGCTCAACCAACATACTGCAGATCATGTACGGGATCTTCTTTGACCTATCTCTGGATTACTCTTTGATCCTGTACACTGAGTTCAAGGCTACAGTCGCCAAGAAAATCTAGGAGGTTGCTAAGGGGAAGGACTTGGCAGCTCTACTGTTTCCGCGTTTTCTGGGTCTTCTCCTAAGACCTAGCATCGATTAGCACAACCTTGATGTTGTGAATCTACCTAGGCACAAGGTGAATGTTGTCTCAACGTACAAACCTACCGTGCACAAGGACGGTTATGCTACAGAGAGCCCAATTCCAATGAAGCTATTGGTGTACATGAAGACGAAGGAGGTCAGGAAGGGATACAGACGTGTATGCGAGACACTAGAACCAGTGGCTTGAACCCCGACACGCATAGGGTTAAACCAAGAGGGAGAGGAAGAAAAGGAGGCACAAAGGCTCTACCAGAGGAAGAGGTAGTAAGGAAGGAGCGGGAGAAAAAGAGGAAGAGGGTGGAGGCAAAGAAGCAGAGGGAAGAAAGAGAGAAAGTGAGGAAGGCGGAGGAGGAGAGAGCGGAAAAAGAAAGACAACAGGAAAGAGCAAGAAAGGAGGAAGAAGAGAGAATTAGAAAAGAAGAAGCCAAGCGGGACTTGGGACTTTTCTCAAGTTCTGAAGACGAGCAAGAGCAAGAGCGTCAAGATGTTGCTGGATCAAATGCAGCAAATGACGGTGAAGACGCTCTTGATGATGATGTTTCTAGGTCTAATGCAGCAAATGATGGGGAAGACGCCCTTTATGATGATGTTGGCGTAGTTGTTGAATTTGAAGAGAATGAAGAGGACGATGAGGCAGAAGGGGAAGTAGCTGCTTTGGCTCAGGAAGAGCCAGAGCAGCCTAGGACCGTGAATAAGCACATATATTTCCCAAGCTCAACTCCCAGTTCAAGCACATCATCTGACTCTGTTGGTCAAGAAATAGAAGTCATTGAACAAGAGGTGGACACCTCGAACCCAAACCAGCCAAACCAGCCAGAGGTCGCATCTGCCTCTGGCCAATATAGCCAAAGGGAAACCACATTCCAGGGATCACCCTCTCAAAAGGGTGAAACCTTTGAAAAAATAAGTGGAATGTCTCCCCATGCTATGCCACTTTCCCATACAGAGGAATTCATTTATTTCTACAATAGTTATTCCCCAACCTTGTTCAGAGCAAGGCTTAGGTGCACAAGGCTTAGAGACTCTCGACCAGTCTCTTAGTCCACTCATGAAGGGTCCCTTGGCAGGTTCTAAACCTGCGGAGGAAACTCTTCATGACAGAACAGTTGTAGTGTGTTCTCCTCTACGAGAGACATAAGGATCAACTGGAAATCCTTCCTCGACCAACGTCCACCAAGTCGAGACAGAAGGTGTCCAAGGAATAAGGACTGAATATGGCCCATGTGTTAAGCCATAGGTTACCACTAAAGCATATGCCACAAAGGATGAGTTCCAATCCTTTGCCACCAATATGCTTTATTCCTTGAAAGAGCTAAAACTCAACATGGCCCGTGCAGAGTCAGCTTCTTCTGCATCTTCTCTGGATGAAGTTCAATCATCCTTGGAAGTATTGAGGGCTGAGTCGATGACGAATGCCTCTCGCCTCGATCAACTTCAAGAATTGACGACAAGAAATGCAGAGACCCTGCAAAGGGTCCTTGCACACGTGTAGAGGGATGGAGCTTCTACTTCATCTCAAGATGCTCAAACGCTTATTCCTCTGAGTGTGCTGGTCGATTACATTACCCAGACATAAATGAAAGCTCTGGGTGATCGTCTTCTACAAAAGGTAGCTCACTTCACATCTGACTTCAACAGCACAGCAAAACAGGGGGCCACCAACATGCGACATTCGTTGACCGCTTTCGAATACAACACAAATATGGAGATCCAGAAGGCCACAACGGCAGCCTCAGAGATTGTTAAGATTTTTGATGCAAAGATCAAGGCCATGCCTCCGACTAACGTGTAGAGGCCAAAGAGGAAGTTGAAGCTACCTACTACGTGTGCCGAGGCCTCAAAGAAGAGGAGGCTGGACGACAATGAGGATCCATACCAGTCTGGCCCTTAGAGTCGTCAAGAGGGGGAGAAACAGCCAGCAGCCTCCAAGAGCTCTATTCCAAAGGCTGCCCCTCTGCCCTGCTCCTCGACAGCTAGCGCAAGGACCATCAAGTCAAAAATCCAAGGCTGCAGGCACACGCACAAGAAAAAAGAAAAGGAAGTATGCCCTCTGCATCAACCGCAGCAAAGCCAGCAGGGCATAAGGAGGGTGAAGAGGACGTAATCAAGATCTTATCCGTATACACCTCTTCATCCTCATCAGAGACTTTGTCATCCTCTGCAGAGTATGTTATGGAGACTGTTCCATCTGCAAGGATGGATGAAGAAGAAGTGGTCGTTGTCAACGTTATTGAGCCAGAGCTACAAGAAAGATTCCAAGAAACAGAAGCGGTTCATCTACCAATGGCGATACCACTTGAAGAAGTAATTGTTGCTGCACCACCACCACACTGGAACACACACAGAGCTAAGGTCCCTGTTCAAGGGACCAGAGTCGTCACACCTGCTCTAAGGCAGGACGTCCCATTCGGAGCTCGAAAGCCAGAGGCAGGCAACAGCAGCAGGCCTCAAAGCTCCAAATGAACCGCTAATCGAGTACAAGAGATCAGGGATCATATGGATGCGATGGTGAGGCCTACACCCCACGATAAGCCGATCAAAGATACTGCAAACAACAAAGATGTCTACCAATATCTCTACAGCCTACGGAATGAGACGCCTGTCGTAAAGATAAATCTTCATCCAACGACTCAAGAGCATATTAGACAGAGATTCTAACAGCGCTTCACACAACCTGTCTCAGCAGTTCACTCAATTGACGGCATCAGAAAAATCATGGACATTAGATGACGAACCTTTGCGCATAACCAGATTATTTTTCATGTGTATATGGTTGAGAGAACCCATGGACAGATTCACTCTTTTACAGATTGAGATCTAATTACTATAAATCCATGGGACCTTCTGTCTCTGTAATTCTATACAGAAAACAAGAGGGATAAGGGATGAAATATACTCTGGCCAACTCAACGATTAGGCAGACGATGACGGACCTCCTAGACTTCGGGTGTAAACTAGAATTTCAATTGGGTCTGGATATTGGGATAGATCAACTAAATGTCAATGCATCGAATAAAGATCTAGAAGACATTATATACATCCCCTTGTGGACGGTGCTGGTGGAACCAGAGGTCGAGGTGATCTTCCAAAACGAGCAAGGAAGAAATATTTTCTTTCGTGAAGATCAACACCTGAAATATTCAAACTCTACTCTACGCTTTATCAAGAACAATCTACTCAGAAGCAGAGACAATACCCCGGGTGCAAAGGAGAGGTCGAATACAATAATCAGATCTATAGACAATTTGTTGGAGTTTCTTGAGCTTCATAGGAGGTTCATGAAGCTTCAACATGTCTAGTCCTTTTCCTTTGTAAGAAACTTCTTTCTTTTGTTTTTAGATTTCAGTTATTGTAATTTCATTTCTTAGTATTGTAAATATTAGATAGTCAATGTAAAACAGAGGTTACTTTTGACCTCTGGCTTCGATTAGACTTGTGTATTTCTTTCAAGTAAGAGTCTGTCTTAGTTACACTTAGGGGGAGATTGTTAGACCCCATCTTGTAAAAGTGTAAGTAAGAAGCCTCTTACTCTAGTCTGTAGGACTTAGTCTTTTGAAGCTGTCTGGAGCAAGAGCTCTCATGCAGAAGAGATCAAGAGACAGAGCTCTTACTCAAAGAGTCAAATGTCTCACATACAGAGCCCACGCTCTATTCCATGGAAGATCAAGCCTGAAGCGCCAAAAAGGTTAAGTGCTTGATACAGAGCTACACTCCAGACACAGAGCCTCTGCATAGTACATGCAGAGCCTATGGGTCTCCTACCTTCATGGAAAGCGCGCTTAGTTCAGACATTCTCGCAAGCGTCTAACAGAATCAAGGCGTCTTGACTTAGTCCGTTCCACTATTCAAGGGTCGTCAACGATAAGGATGCAGAATAAGCGCTCAGAGATTCAAGCCAAGATTCTAGCAAATTCTGTTTAGCTTTGACATATATAAGAAGGCATCCTCCTCAGATTATATTGACCTGATTGTGCTGACTTAGACTATAGCCAAACCTTGTGAGAATACTAATTAGATTGAGAGTTTACTTGTGTTTTCTTCTCATCTAATAAAAGTATTTGGCGTATTCAAAGTCATACTGTTTTCTTATCTTTCATTGAATACTTCAATTGACCTTTCAGTTACACTGTTTTTACTTCATTCATATTCTTTCAACTGTATTTTCTAATATTAAAAGAATCTGGGTTCCAACAAGTTGGGTGAGCCAAGGGCCCAGTGAATTAATAGTTTTAATGCACACACAACGTAAAAAAAATAGATTTCACAAAGTGTCATAATTTATCATGTATACGGTTTAAACAACATACTTCAAAAAGCTAGTGGCGTTACGCGAGATGACTACCTCACACAGCATTACCTGGCGAACTCACACAGCATGTCCATACTTACGGCTTAGACAAGCTCACAAAGCATGCTTGTCTTTACGAATCATACCGTAGTACATCCCCAATTACCACAAAACATATTTTATAAAATAAGGCACGATTTATGCATACATGATATTCAAATATATCAAGAAAATTCCAGCAAGCTTGCATATAATTGTAAATAAAATGTGCAACCATTTTTAGGAAAGTCATGTATAACTCACCGCGGACATGCTGTCCAAACAAAATTTTGAAGTGTATAGCGTATCCCCTACAAGTCCAAGACCATAACTTTAAATAAAAATAAATAACGTTGCGACTACCTACGATACCCAAAAATGATCGAGTGGCTCCCTTGACGCTATTTATCCTAAAGAACCTTAAGGCAATATCTTGGTTACGACCACACTAATTAACATGAACGTCCTTATATGGTTACATATATATATATATATATATATATATACACACACACACATATATATATATATACATATATACACTTACACATATATACACAAAGAGTTTGCTAAGTCGATATATTTAAATTAAATATGCATCAACTATTAGCATGTCATAATAATTTATGCATGCATGCATTACTTCTTTCTTCTCTTCCATGGCTCTATATATGCAACATACCTATTGTTTCTTCCTCTTCCCAACATAGTTACTGTACATACTTCCTCTGTATGTGCCCATGTATATATTTCTTTCACACCTCACAACATAAACAAAGCCATGAATCCAACCCATTATTACGTTTAAGATAACTTTTTTATATATATAAAAAGTAATTTAACCCACCAATTGAAGAAACGCCAGACTATCTAATGTATATTAGTATAGACCGATACCCACATAATCCAAAGTTTTATTTTTGGTGTGAAACGAGGGTACGACTTGACAACCTAGTGAGACGGGGATTACCGTGTGAAAAATGGTGGGGTGTTAGAGGTGACCGCTAGCCACCTTATCCGTTAGAAAACTCACCCAAATGATCGACCGACTAAGGTGAACCTCTAGGAAACTAAATTTTGAAACGAAAGGTACGAATGGCTTATCGATTGATGCCGAACTAGTTGCAATGTAAAGCACCATCAACTTTTCTTTCAATGTTCACCGTTGCCTTTGCTCTTACAATATATCCCTATCCCACCACCTTGCCACAACTCTTATGGGTTTTATACTAGGCCAACGACGGTTACAATCATATGAGGATGCCACATCCATTAATTGAAAGGGGAGTTACGCCGATTGAGGTGAAGAGAAATTTAAAGATGCACCTCTTTTTTTTTGTTATTACAAACTTCCCCCCTTAACAAAATTTTGTCCTTGAAATTTGCCCTATGCATCAAAATGAGGGTATTTCAACCTCATATTTTTCTTGGCTTCCCAAGTTGCTTTCGGCCCCCTATGATGTTTCCATTGGACATTCACGAGAGAAATTTCTTTGTTTCTTAGCTTCCTCACTTTTCTATCGGTAATTGCCTCTGGTTGTTCATATAACTTAGTGTCTTGTTCACTTTTATATCCTTAGGAGTTACCTCGGTGCTCTCTTCTGCCAAACACTTTCTTAAATTAGATACGTGAAACGTGTTATGGATGCCTTGAAGTTCTTCAGGTAGTTCCAACTTATAGGCAACCTCACCTACCCTTTCAGTTATCTTGTATGGACCAATATAACGAGGACCTAGCTTCCGTTGATTTCCAAAATGAACTACGCCTTTCCACGGTGAAATCTTAAGCATAACTTTGTCCCCAACTTGAAATTCTATCGACTTTCGTCTTTTATCGGTGTAGTTTTTCTGTCTATCTTGTGCCACCTTTAACCTTTCCCTTATATATTTTATTTTGTTGGTGGTCTGCTGAACTATTTCATGTGCAGCCAATTGTTTTTCACCTACCTCATTCCAACATAATGGCGTTCGACACCTTCTCCCATACAAAGCTTCATATGGTGCGACTTGAATGCTAGCTTGATAGCTATTGTTATAGGAAAAATCTATCAATGGAAGATGGCTTTGCCATGACCCTACAAAATCGATAGCACATGCCCACAACATATATTCTAGAGTTTGAATGGTCCTCTCGCTTTAACCATCTGTTTGTGGGTGATAGGCTGTACTTAGCTTTACTCATGACCCTAAGTCTCTTTGAAAGCTTTGCCAAAACATAAAGGTAAACCGATTGTCCTATCAGAGACTATTGATAATGGAACACCATGACGAGTCACAATCTCGTCTATATACAACTTAGCTTATCTTTCCATCGAGTACGTTTCTTTTACTGGTAGAATATGTGCAGACTTCATGAGTCTATCAACGATTACCCAGAGAGCATCATAACACTTTGGTGTTCTTGGGAGTTTCATCACACAGTCCATTGTGATGTGATCCCACTTCCACATCGGAATTTCTAAGGG